TACATAGATAGTACATAAATAGTACATAGATAGTACATAGCTTTTAAAATTTGCATCAAATTTCAAGACTGGTTGACGTTTTTCCTCACTATAACTCATTTTTTGTAGCCATAGACCTGTTCATTTTGGAACTAAAAAGCACTTGTTCATAACTTTAGTTTTAAAAAAGTAATTAGAAAAATTCTTATTGATTTTTGCTTGAGAGAACCTTTGAATCTCTCTTTGTCGTTAGAGCAATAAGTACAGGGTGTCCCACAAAACATGACAGTTGGTGAATCGTGTAAAATATCTTTTTCCATAATTTGATGGATACTAAAGAGACTAATACAATTCATTATATTGTGCAGTTATATATTAATAAAATTGATTTCACAGTAAAATATATATATATATATATAAAATATATATGAGTTAAACATTTTTTAAAAGAAATAAACTGCAAAAAGTCTTTAATATCTAATACAGTATGTGGAAGAAGACATTCAAAACTATTCACCAACTATCATGTTTCGTGGAACACCCTGTAGCTGATTTTAGGGATTCAAAGCTTTGATTGGTGTTCTACACTAGTTAAAATGTTATATGTATTTTAAAACACCAAATATCTTTTTTTGATAGGGGAGAGCGGTGGACAATTGGTGAAGAGATTTGGTGCGGAGTATTCTTCACTGTTGTTGGAATTCTTGGCTTTATTGCAGCCAGGTAATTAAAGGAAGCCTTGTTGGTGTAACAGCAAGGTAATTAGTGGAAGCCTTGCACTAATAAAATCAAGGTAATTATTGAAAGCCTTGCATTAGTAAAATAAAAGTAAAAAAGGGAAGCGTTGGGAATGAAAACCAACGTAAATGGTGAGAGACTTTATAAAAAGAAAGTTAGTGGAATCATCGGAATGCCTGATTTAACATCTGTATTTCAGACGAACGACCGCTTGTACTATAACTCAATTCTTGGTTTTCAATATTATGGGTTCTATTCTCGCTATTGTTGTTATATCATTGGCAGGTTAGTGTTATGTTACAGTGGACCCCACTAAACTAGAGACTTTACAGACGACCTGAAATTTATTCTGGATACAGTAAGAACCATAAAACTGTGGAATGTAAAGACGACTTTTAGACTCTAGTTATGATTTTAAGCATTCCACGGCAATTTTGCAGCGTGCTCACAGACCACTTCACTTAATCAATGATTTTTGAGCTATATATATATATATATATAGTAGTTTATAAAGTACACCTATTTGTTCTGTACCGACATCAAATACACATATATATTGCTGTAATGTCGTCTTCTTCTTCTTCTGACTCTATTATGATGATTTTTCTGTCGATAAATGGGGAAAATTTTCAAAATTGGTCGAATGGGTTTCAATCATTTTCATTCATTTCCTGATTTCAGCAATTAAAACTGCAAGTGAGGGCCAGGACCATGAAAGACAGATAGAGTACCACAGGTTGATTTTTAATATTTAAATATTAAACATTTTCAAATTTTTCCTTACAAAAATAATTGCGATTTTTAATTTTTAGGGATGATTTGAAGTATATGCAGAGGTAACATGAATATAAAATTTAATTCAATTTAAAAAAAAATCAAATTAAACTTTTTTTAGTGAAAACTACAACTGCACAGAGAAAGTAATTTATCAGCAGCATTTAGTCTNAAAAATTTGAAATCTAACAAGATCAATTTCCACATAAAGACTTTTAAAAATTGGTTTCAGTAGAGAATTGTTTACTGCTTTTCTAAGGACATGTATTATTCACAATTCAATAAAGAGCTTAAAAACTACAGAAATAAAAGATTGAAAGATTTATTTGTTTGCGAAACAATCTGTAATTTGTTTTTCATGAAGTCAACAGATGTAAGGGGTGGTGGACCGGGGACTTTATTTAATGAATTGGAGAGAGTTCACTAAATTACCTATTACCGGTTCGACTATCTCTCTTGATTACTGGCTCAAATCTTGAATCACAGATTCAAAGTTCAATTACGTAGTTGAATGACCTCGCAATTCATCAAATCTGGTCTCGAGTATTATTATTGAAACTATTATTAATATTATTATTATTACTATTATTATTACTATTATCAATTAATGATACCGGCCAACTTTCTGAATAAGTGTTTGTTATTGATTAGTTGATTGTTATTATAGGAGGGTAAAATCAATATTGGAGGAAGAAGATAAAAAAATTGCGAATTCAGAAGGACTCGTTGGATTCCTCGTCTTTCAGGTACCATGGAAACCATACAACTCTGGAATAGGAAGACGACATTTATGCTCAAGTTATAATTTTAATTACTTAAGCGAACATGAAATACATCAATTGTGCAGTGTAAACAGACGTCAGATTGTAAATATCTCTAGATCTCTATCTACAGGGAGGTGTGGTCATCTTACACATAGATCTAAACTGCTATAAAAAGTTGCATCAATTTTCAAAACTAGGTCAACTGCAGGTCAACTGTAGGTCGACTGTAGGTCGACTATAGGTCGACTGTAGGTCAACAACTGTATGTCGACTATAGGTCGACTGTAGGTCGACTATATGTCGACTGTAGGTCAACAACTGTATGTCGACTGTAGGTCGTCTGTAGGTCAACTGTAGGTCGACTGTAGGTCAACTGTAGGTCGACTGTAGGTCAACTTTAGGTCGACTGTAGGTCGACTGTGTCTGTAGGTCGACTGTAGGTCAACTGTAGGTCAATTGTAGGTCAACTGTAGGTCGACTGTAGGTCAACTGTAGGTTGACTGTAGGTAGACTGTAGGTCGACTGTAGGTCGACTGTAGGTCGACTGTAGGACGACTGTAGGTTGACTGTAGGTTGACTGTAGGTCAACTGTAGGTCGACTGTAGGTCAACTGTATGTCGACTGTAGGTCGGCTGTAGATTGACTGTAGGTCGGCTGTAGGTCAACTGTAGATTGACTGTAGGTCAACTGTAGGTCAACTGTAGGTTGACTGTAGGTCAACTGTAGATCGCCTGTAGGTGAACTGTAGGTGAACTGTAGGTCAACTGTAGGTCGACTGTAGGTCGACTTTAGGTCAACTGTAGGTCGACTGTAGGTCAACTGTAGGTCGACTGTAGGTCGGCTGTAGATTGACTGTAGGTCAACTGTAGGTCAACTGTAGGTCGACTGTAGGTCGACTGTAGGTCGACTGTAGATCAACTGTAGGTCGACTGTAGGTCGACTGTAGGTCAACTGTAGGTCGACTGTAGGTCAACTGTAGGTCGACTGTAGGTCGACTGTAGGTCGACTGTAGGTCGACTGTAGGTCGACTGTAGGTCGACTGTAGGTCGACTGTAGGTCAACTGTAGGTCGACTGTAGGTCAACTGTAGGTCGACTGTAGGTCGACTTTAAAGTCTCGGAACGCATTGGCTTTTAGTGGTACTAGGCGTGTAAATTTTAAAACTATAAAGGACTTGATTATAGCTTTAGTGAGAAAAAAATAATTGGCAAAATTCTCAAAGATCTTTTTGTAAGAGCTTGCAACCTTTGAATCCTTGAATGCGTTATTTTTGAAAAATACTACATATACAACCAAAAATATCCTTAATTTTTTTTAATAAATTTTACTTAAATTATGAATAAAATAAATTTTGTTTAGATAATTATCGGAGTGGTTGAGTTTGTAATTACAATAATCAGTGCTGGAATATCCTGTAATGCATGCTGCTGTAGTCCTACCGTAGACAGTACAGCAGTCTATATACCAAAGGAAAAGGTTAAAATTAAAAATATTTTAAATACCTTTGGCAAAGGTCAAAGCCGAGTATTCATTGTTTTTAGGACTCAATATCATTTTAAACAATAAAATGTTTGTTTTTTTAGTTGGAAACGGGTGAAAGTGTTATTCATGTTCAAAAGGAAAACAGTTTTTTGATTATTAAAGAAAAGAACTTATTTAGACCAAATTTTGTGGTTTCTTTGAAAATATTTACTAAAAGAAAGAAATTATGTTTTTATCACCAACTCAAATTTTCTTATCCCTTTATCTTTACAATCTGTTGATGTAGACCTTTAATATTTCAAACTTCGAATATTTGATCTAACAGTATTCATAGTTTAAAATATCAAAGAACGACATTGGGTCGAAAAGAGAGATTAGAAAATCAGAGTTTGTGGCAAAGGCAATATTCCTTTACAAGATGACACAGAAAAAAAACATTATGAAAAAAGCATTATGTTTGCTGCTTAATATTGAGTAAAAACTGTTAAATCAGGAATATGGAGATAGAAACAGGTATAATGAAGACGCTCAGGGGAAACAATACTCAAGAATAAAATAGTTTTAAAACTAACCAGATTTGTCAGGAGTAACATACTTCAGAAGCAAATAGTTTAAAACTGAAAAATTTAGTCAGTGGACACAATTCGCAAGAATAAGATAGTTTTAAAACTGACAAGATATGTCAGGGAAAACAATAGTTTCAAAACTGAAAAGTTCAAGGGAAACATACTCCAAAAGTAAATATTTTTAAAATGATAAATTTAGTCAGTAAAGACAAGACAATACTCAAAAATCAAACAATACTATGAAAATTAAATACTTTCAAAACTAACAAGATTTGTCATGGGAAACTATACACACGAATCAAATAGTTTCAAAACTGGCAAATCTATTTAGGGTAAAGAAAAAAAATTAATTGTTTCAAAAACCACTTTTCGAAACGGATAAATCGGCGAAAAAAACCCCAAGAATGTAATAGTTTTAAAGCTAACAGTTTCCTTTGGGGAAACAATACCGAAGAACCATATAGTTTCAAAAAATGCAACACCCCAATAAAAAAAGAGTTTAAAACATATGTTGAAGTTACATTAATGTTTGTATTCAGTTGTATTGTAATATTTTGAACCAATTGTTGCCGTTTAGTGAATTCATTTAAAATATAAAAAACTTGTTTAGTATTTAATCTGATATTTACCATAAATAAATATTAATTTACCTAGAAGGGAATGGTTCATTTGTTGTACTGTCTTATTTTGCTGTCGTGTGTACATAACTTGCTTAAAATTTGTACCAGTACAGTACATCAAATGGATCGAGCACTCATTGAGGTGAGTTCACATAACTTTGGCAAAAAAAATGTTGTTAAATTTATGTTAATCGCCATTGTCTTTTAGACTCGATGTTTATTTTTAAAAATAGGAGAATGCCAAAGGTGCCATAAAGTAAAACCGGGTTTGTTTTTCTCAGGCAGATAATTTTGAGAAGCCATAAAACCCATGATTCAATTAAGATTTTTACTCCGAATAACATAAATGTAGGTCATTCATAAAATTTTGGATCATATTTTTTTTGCTCAAATTTAATTTTAAAATGCTTTTTTTACATTTTTGTTTTCGGCGTTTAATGCCTTTTAAATTTCATGAACACTGAATTTAAATTGATTTTTCTTTATGCCAAAAATAAACTCTTTGTAAACACGTATTTGTTAGTGTTGTATTTAATAATCTAGAAAAATAAAGTTTATGAAAAATAAGTATGTGTTTTTACATTGTGAAATGCAAAAAAAAATACATTTTTTAGAAGACTTAAATCGTTATTCTTGGTTCCTGAAATGTCAGAACCCAAAAAATTGCCTCCATTAAAAGTTTTTGAGACTTTAATATCTCCAGCGATGGAAAACGAAAAATATGTGAAAATGTTTTACTGCTACGAGAAACGAAGAAAAATTGTTGAAGGAATATTATCATTTCAGTTTGACAACTAAAGTAATTATATTCTAATTTTAGCCTTAATTTGAACAAAATCATGTAGAAAAAATGAAAAGAAAGAATACTGAATCTGTATTGTATAAATTCTAGTTTTTATGATACCTGGTTCAGTCCTTTTTCTTATGTTGCACTCCTGTATGCCGAGTCCATTAGCGCCTGATCCAATCAGGGTTCAGTCATGTGTTTGTTGTCTATTCTGAACCAATAGAAATAGGCGGTAATATCCGTCTTTCTATCTATCTAATTATCCAATTAGAGATATAAATACTTCAATCGGCGCTGAACAGTAAATGGAAATATTTACTTCTACTGAAAATATAGTGATTGATGACTCTCTTAGTTTAAAATTGTTGATTTCTAATCATATATTAAACAAATATAAGACCATTTCTATGACCAAAGACAATTTTAAACCTCAGAATTACAGAGCTTTAGGTCGTCATTAGAGTCCCATCATTTTTGAAAATGCGCGAACTTTTTTGTTATTGTTTTATATTGTACAACGAGAACATACTCACAGATAGAGCCACAATTTAAATAAATTCATTAAATAGAAGCTGAAAGCCTAGTTTTAGTATAATTAATGAATTTCTGAAATTTGGAACAAACTAGAGATCTGGGACCAAATTTATAAATTTGAGAAGTCGCTGAACATATCTACCGCCGCCGCGGTTCAAATCCCAGATTACCATCCTCATAAATATGTATCTTTTAATAAGTGATTCAAGATTTGAGCCGGCGGTAGGCAATTCAGCGACCTAGCTCAAATTCATTAAATTAGGTTTTGCTTAACTTCCCAATCCCTAACCCGTGTAAATATATAAGATTGAGATATTGATTGAAAGCAGACGACATTTACAATAAATAATCACAAAACCTCGTTGTCATAACTACCCGTCAAATCTCTTAGAATACTTTGTGTACACTGTTTACTATTAAAAGAACAATAAGCTTTATTGCAAGTGACCCGCCATGAAAAGATGGTTTTGCAGATTTAAAACCGCATCATTTCAAGCTTTGTCTTATTAGCTGTAGGAATTAAATAATTTAATTCATAGGGCTAATAAGACAAAAATATCAATGTTTATAATTTGATTGATTGATTGCACATTTCTATTCTAAAGGAAATAGAAATTATTAGATTTAAACATTTTTATCAGAGAAATATTGCTAGCGCAGCATTGTGCATCAGGCATTGTTAATTTAGCGTGGAGGGTCATTTGAAATTACATTAACAGTCTCTTTAAGAAAACAAACAGTATCTTATTAATTAAATGTATAATATTCTTATATTATGCATTTACATAACAAACATAGGGTTAGGAAAATAGCTTCTATTAATAGCTTTCAAGGGACAGTCCATGGGCGTGTTTTAGATTAACAATTTCAGGCAATTTCAGGCAATTTCAGGAAAAATATGTATTGGCGAAACTGGTCAAAGAAAATTGAGCCAATACATATTTTTCCTGTGGGGCCCTACTAAAGAAACCAAACAGCTCGATATAAAATGGAGTACCGTCTGCAAAGCATGTATAATCATATGGTAGGGCGAACCGCGTCAGTTGTCTCTCCCTTCTATTCCTTGCTCCCTGATATAATAGGAATATTTTAAAAACATCTCTGTACATTTATATCTTTAAAGATGAAAAATGTCGTCTTATGTGCAATCTATCTTTATCTATGATTGCGACACTTTAGAGTTGGCGGAGTCTTACAAATGAATGCAATTCTTCATAACTGTCTAGTTCTATGTATTACGTTCTGAGCTGGAAACTTTTTTAGTGTGGATATCGAGATCAATACTTGATCTCTTGTTTTTGTTAATCTGCAGATTAATTTAATCTTACATTAATAACCAGAAAACTATCTAAAACCCAATCAATCATAGCGTCGTTTGAAGAAATCGAACAACCAATCAGAAGCCAGCAAATTTTGATAGGAACCCAACAGAGATATCCAAAAGAGAGGACTAAGCAGAAAATTAAAAGTGTTTACGTTCATATCGAGATTAGGCGAACAGGATTAAGGGTATCCAATACAAGAGTTTTAAGCTTTAACTTATTCTATTAAACAGGAAACCATAAAAAATATTAGATATTGTCACTTTCTGCTGAATCAGAGTCCGAATTCAATGAATTTGAGCCGCGGCCTAAATCCGCCAAAAATCGGTTTGATTGAGCGCCGACTTAAATCTTAAAACACTGAATACAAACTTAAGTGGAATCAACCATATTTGAGATGCGTCTCAAATTTAAGCCGCGGCTCAAATTCTTTAAATTCGGCCTCAGAGTCAATTAAAAATGTTAACTTTTGCTGTGCATTAAAAATAAATATTCCGAATTCATGTGATACCTTTACGAATTTGAAGTATACTAGGCTTATGGGACGCTTCGTGCCCATATTCTATTTCAACTTTTAATTGTGGCTTTATCTTTGAGCATCTTCTCTTTAAACAGTATAAAAAAAAACTAAAAAAATTTGGAGAAATGAGGATCGGAGGAGAGGGAAAAAGGAAAAAAGAATGGGGTACTTTTGATTTTAGGGGAGAAGATTGGAAGAGTATTCACCAGCACAGCTCTGCAAAGCTATGAATAGAAAAATACATCTTTCCAAATCACAGGAAGAGAAGAGGAAATCGATTATTTACATGAAAAAAATTTCGAGTTGAAGCAATATAATTCGTGACAGATGGAAAATTTTCTAAAAATTTATTCACGAATTTTTCCAGCTTATAAGATTTTGTCTGGTTTGGATCTAATAATGGTGTAAGCATATTTTCAAATACNATTATTATTATTATCATTTTATTATTGTTATTATTATTATTATTGTCCCCAGAATTAAAGTAAAATAATTGATGACGTACGGGGGTGGCGATTATATCAATATAATGAAGACGACTTTGCATTTCAATATTGATTTATTTCTAGGTTGTAAGTAGCATGGATACACATTAACATGGAAACAAAGAGAAGATGTAAATTACAAAAGTTTCTTGTTAATTACTTGCAAACTTGTAGTTTAAAAAAATTAAAACTTTTAAAAAAGTCGTCTTCATTATATTGATATGATCGCTTACCACCGATGTACATTTGAGGACAATTCTAATTTATTTTACCTTAAGTTGAAAATGAGATAAATTTTGATGAGTAAAGAACTAATAATAGTCACCTAAATCTCTTTTAATTGTTCAGGGGTTTGATTGGGTAAATTTTAGAGTAACTATAGAATTATTGTTATATTATATTTTTTTTGATTAAAGCATTTTTTCCGAATTCCGGAAACAATTCCTTAATTTTAAAGAAAGTGCGAATGCATTGATGATTAGATTGTATCATTCTGTAGATTTAGGTTTATTAGTTGCCCCGAATTACGAAGATATTGCATTTTTAATATATTTTCTTATTTCAGGATTTGGACTGGAAAGATTTGAATGCGACTGACCCCGAATTTGTGAAATCTGTTGAAAAATGTGAAGCTGTCCGTATAGACGATATCAGGTACTTCACAGGCGGGTTAAGTTGGAAGAGATGGGGGAATATCTCCCCCAAAACCCTCGAAAAAACTGGGAGACTTCTCATCCCCAGGCACAAGAAGAGAGTGGTGTCAGCCTCGCAGCTTCTTACATCTTTTAATTTCGATTTTTAAGAACGAAATTCTAAAAATTAGGTTG